ATTCTCGACAATGAGACGATTACAGGTGGGATTGAGAATTCAAGGGCTCTACTCAGTCTTCAATACCTTGAGAGGCTAAATTTGGCTTTCAACAGCTTCAATTCCATTCCAATCCCAGTTCAGATTTACAAGCTTACCAACTTGACATATCTCAATTTGTCAAATGCTGGTTTTGGAGGGCAGATTCCGAATGGAATATCAAGACTGAAAAGGTTGGTTACTCTTGACCTCTCAACCCGCTTCCCAATAGGTCCACCACTTAAACTTGAGAATCCAAATCTAGAGAAATTCTTTGACAACTCCATACAAGTTAGAGAACTTTATCTTGATGGTGTTGATATTTCTGCTCAAAGGAGTAACTGGTGTCAGGCCTTATCTTCATCTTTGCCAAATTTAAAAATCTTGAGCTTGCGAAATTGTCAAGTTTCAGGCCCTATTTATCCATCCCTTTTGAAACTTCGTCACCTTTCTGTTATCTATCTAGATCAAAATGATCTTTCCAGCACTGTCCCGAGGTTTTTGGCAAATTTTTCAAATTTGAGGACCTTGAGCCTAAGCTCTTGTAATCTACACGGTGCATTTCCGGGAGAGATCTTTCAGACAAAAAGCTTAGAGGAGCTGATGATACAAAACAATCAGAATCTTAGTGGCAGCATCCCATCATTTCCAGAGAATGGATCCCTTAGGGTGGTTTCAGTAAGTTACACTCAATTTTCTGGTTCAGTGCCACCTTCCATCAGTAATCTTAGCAACTTGTCCAGGATAGAGATCACCAACTGCAAATTCAGTGGACCAATTCCCTCTACAATGGCACAACTTACGAGTCTTATTTATATGGATTTCTCATTTAACAACTTCACTGGCTCAATCCCACATTTCCAGCTGTCAAAGAACCTTACCTACGTAGATTTTTCTCGTAATGGCCTAACAGGTTCACTTTCTTCCAAACATTTCGAAGGCCTTTCAGAAATTGTAAATATAGATTTAATGTCTAATTTACTCTCTGGAAGAATTCCCCAATCTCTTTTTTCACTTCCATCATTGCAGAAACTTGTGCTTTCCAACAATAAATTTGATGGTCAAGTTGATGAATACCTGAATGTATCTGCCTCTCAAATGGATACACTTGACTTGAGTTCTAACCGTCTAAATGGCTCCATTCCGGGGTACTTCTTTGAATTTCCAAAGCTGAATGTGCTGTTACTTTCTTCCAACTCCTTCAATGGAAGGATACAGTTCGAAAGTCTCCAAAAGCTCAAGAACCTCACAAGATTTGAGCTTTCTCACAACAATTTGTCAGTTGATGTAAGTACCAGTACTTCAGCCTCCTCATTTTTTCCCAAGATTACAACATTGAAAATGGCTTCTTGTGGATTACAAAAGTTTCCAGATCTTAGAACTCAATCAAGTATGATCTATTTAGACCTGTCAGACAATGAAATTAGAGGGGAAATACCAAACTGGATATGGAATGTGGGTAATGGAAGTCTGGCTCATCTGAATCTTTCCCGCAATTTCTTAGATGGTCTAGAAAAGCCTTATGCAATTCCAAGTAGTCTTTCAGTACTGGATTTGCACTCAAATCAACTGCAAGGCCAACTTCCGATTGGAGTAGCCCCAAGCCTGAATGCTGCGTATCTTGATTACTCAAACAATTTTTTCAATGGTTCCATCCCATTTGATCTTGGAAGTTACGCTCCATTTGCTTCTTTCTTGTCTCTTTCAAATAATAGCTTCACTGGGACAATTCCTGAATCCATATGCAATGCAAGCTATCTGCATGTGCTTGATCTATCCAACAATAAGCTGAGTGGCACACTTCCATCCTGTCTATTCAACATTACTGGGATTGAGACTATTGGACTTGGAGTACTAAACCTAGCGGAAAACCAAATCAGTGGTAACATACCTGATTCCTTTCCAAGTAACTGTGCCCTAAAAACGTTAGACCTCAGCAGGAATTTCTTTCAAGGGATGATTCCCAAATCTCTGATCAATTGTTTGTCATTGGAAGTTCTGAATGTTGGGAGCAACAAAATTGTAGATACATTTCCATGCCTATTGAAGAAATTATCAAGCCTGCGTGTCCTAGTCTTGCGGTCCAATCAATTCCATGGTGACCTTCACTGTGGTAATGCTAATCATAGCTGGCCAAATCTTCAGATTATTGATATTGCTTCCAATAAGTTCAGTGGCAAACTCTCTCCAAAATGCTTCTTGAACTGGAAAGGAATGATTTCTGGTGAAGATACGGTGCAACCAGTGCAACACATCAAGTTTGATTACTTGAGACTTAATAATTTCTACTACCAGGATACAGTAATGGTAACCATAAAAGGGATGGAGACAGAGCTGGTGAAAATTCTAACAGTCTTCACATCTGTTGATTTCTCAAGCAATAATTTCCATGGGATTATACCAGATACCATTGGGGCTCTCAATTCACTTTACTTTCTCAACCTATCACACAATGCTCTCACAGGGACTATCCCAGAAGCAATTGGAAATCTGAAAGCGATGGAGTCGTTAGACCTTTCATCAAACCAGCTAGGTGGAGAGATCCCAACACAGCTTGCAAGTCTGTCATTCCTATCAGTCTTCAATCTATCATTCAATAGACTTTCTGGTAGTATTCCAACAGGCAATCAGCTTAATACATTTGAAGCAACTTCCTATTTGGGTAATCCAGAACTGTGTGGTTTGCCTCTCCCAAAGAGTTGCAAGAAACCACCTAGTTCCAGTGGCGGTCCAGTAGTCGACTCTGAGTTCGATTGGCATTTCATATTCATAGGTCTGGGATATGGAATAGGAGCCTCAGTTTCCATGGCAGCTCTTTTCTTCTGGAAGGAAGGCAGAACAAGTAGTGATAAGCATCTGAAAGAACTCCTCAAGCTGATTATTCCATCATACAGGTTCCCCTACATCAGATACAATGGTGGGAGAGTGCAGGCAGAGGAAATCATTGAAGATGAATCCCCTGATGATACTGATGACTCTGATGAAGACGAGGATGAAATGGAAGGCAAATCATACCGTGGCAGGTACTGTGTGTTTTGCAGCAAACTTGATATCCACAGAAAGGCAGCAATTCATAATCCAGACTGCACCTGCAGTCATCATCACTCTTCCCCACTTCCTCCTTCCATAACATCTTCTTCTACATCCCTGCTAGTCATATATCAGAAAGTCATTTGAACTGTAACACAGCCCCCGCCCCAGCCCTCCCCTTCACCCCATCTTTATAATTTGTACATAAATATATACTTGTAACACAGAGTTCATGCAAAAGTGAAAGCAAGAGTCTTGATTTCTTTTCACAATCATCAAGCTAGCTGCAAGCTTATTATACAAGTATACAAGAAGCAGTGTTACCCCATTCCCTGCCTTGAAATTTTATTCGTCCAGTGAGATCTTCACGGAAAGGTGATTTAAGAAGAAGAAAATCTAGAAACTGTTTAAGTCAGAATGATTCAAACAATTCATCGAACAATTGATAGACATCTTTGCTGACAATAGAGCATTTCTCAAGAAAATACTAAAGAAGTTAAAAGGAAAAACCATTTCGCACGCATTTTAACTTTACTATTGAAGTAATTAAAATTAAATTTATATAAAGATTGAGGTGCCATAGTGGGCTCACGGCACTTAAGGCCCAATAACTCCATATACCAGGCCTGTGTTTAAATGGAGTGAACTCTTAAATGGTCCTGGCGAGGCTCGAACTCGCGACCTCCGACTCATAAGACCAGTGCTCTAACCAACTGAACTACTGGACCCCTTGTTGATAATTATTTTTGTTTAAATTAATTGTGTTGTTATAGTTATAAAGGTTTTAAAAATACAAAAACAAAAAAAATCAAAACAATTGATCGTAATTGTGTTTTAAAAAATTTTCAATCAAACAATAACTATGATTTTAATTTCTATTCTTGGTGTGTATAAACCCATGAACCAAACACACCCTTATTCTAACAAAATGTAATATTAATTACAATTTTTGAAAGGACAATGAATAGAGCACAATAACTAGTCAGGTCACAACCGCACAAGAATCACAAACTTCTAATTATTTCTAAGGGAAAATGGTACTTTTTCGCCTTAAGTTATATATTTATAGCACTTTTTTTCCCTCAATTATTTATGTAAGCACATTAGCCCTTTAATTATTTTAAAAGTTGTGGTTTTTCCCCATAATATATTAAATTGACATTTCTACCCTTAAAGTAAACATTTTATTTATTTTACTTCTCCAACAAATTATTGCGTATATGTAGCGATTATCACGGTTCGATTCGAACTGAACCAGACACTATAGCAATCGAATTAAAAGCTTTCGGTTATGATTCAGATCTAGAACCCAATATTTTGATTTCAATTTATTAAATTTAAGAATAAAAAAACTGGATCATGAACCGTGAACCGGCGGTTTTGGATCCGGTTCACGATTTTGAACCGTCATTATTTTAAAATTTTGTTTTTTTATTTTAAAATAATCTAAATTCAACAATATATGTATTTTATTTTTTCAGTTCAGAACATGAACATGCCATTCCGGTTCGCGATTTTAATAAACTCTAAATATCGCGTTTTGATTATAAATTGTAATTGGAATATTTTGGTTTGGTTGCTATAGTATCTGTTTGGTTTGAACCAAATTATAGTAATAATTTGTTGGAGAAGAAAAATAAATGAAATATTTATTTTAAATATTTATTTTAAGGGTAAATATGTCCATTTAACATTTCAGGAGAAAAAAAGCCACTTAAATAATTCAAGGGGTAAAAGTGATATAAGTATATAACTCAGAAGAAAAAGTGTCATTTTCCCTATTTCTAATTTAGTTTTTTGAGTGATAAGGAAAATCTAGCGTGCACTTGTAACTTTAGCCAACAAATTAAAAAATCATAAAAAAAACTGAAATAAACCAATCTAAATTGTTTATGGATTCAAAAATAAAAAGTCAATAGTCTGCTCCTGTGGTTAAGTATAACATTAACCAATACTCATATCATAATATATTACAGAAAACACCACCACAGAACAGAGCAAGAGACAAGACAAAGGCGAAAACGAGAAACACTACATTTACTAATACTTCCATTCCTAGCTAGCTGCAACGTAACTAGGATCTTTCTCATCGGAACCTACCTAATAAGCTACTATACCTATATATACTAGCTAATATAATATATTACTCCATTCTAAGATTTAATGGATTCCCTAGTACATAATCTAGCTAGTAGTACACACTAAATGCATCATCTACCGGCGCCATGGTTTCCCCCGCCTGTAATCCAACGCCACCGTCTCCGCCGCCGGCGGCCCCTCCCTGTCCAGGCATTGTGTAGTTTCCGGGACCCACTCCGTAGTTTGCCTGTGAGGACTGGATATTATAGTCACCAGCAAGAACATCATCATCGCCGGCGGCGGCGGCGGCGGAATAACAGTAGCTTGGGTCGTAGTCACGGAGGAGCAAGTCGTCGTCGTCGGCGGCGGCGAAGTTGATCATGGTTTGGTGGAGCCATATCTGGGTCTTGAGGAACTTGACGTAGTGAATGGCTTCGTCGAGCATGGACACCGTGTCCATCTTGGAGCCGCCGGGCACCAGGCTCTGCAGGATCTTGAACCGGTCGCTGATGCGGTGGCGCCTCTCCCTCGCCGCCACGCTCTGCGGGTCCGTCGACAGCTTCACCACTTTGCCGCCGCCGGATTTCTTCTTCTTCTTATTATTTTCCTCATTGGAATTATTGTTAAAAACGGATGAAGAACAAGTGCTATTATCCATTATTACGTATTTGTTTCGAGGGAGCTAAGATTTCATGGTTGATGCATGGGTGGGTGTCTGTGTGTGTATATATAGGGACAGGATGATGCTACGTATAACGTTGAAATAAATGAAAGAAGGTAGAATGGAGATTGGATTTTGGTCTGCCATTAAATGAGATACGACTGTCTGGTCTAGCTATACGCTGGGACCCACTGTATATATTTTTTTGTATTTATTTACTTTTGTAATCACAAGGTGGAGCTAGCGTAATTATATTCCCTACTCAAAAAGGTCTTTTTGTACCCAAAGGTTATGGTAAGTGGAGCTAGTTGGACTAGTTGTCTAGTTGTTTATTCAGTTCAAGTTTGCTGTTTTTGAGAGAGCAACCGCGATGACTGGATTGTGAGGCCCACACCGACTTAACTTAATGGTTCAATAAATAGTATTTGAAAGAAAAGATAAATGTTCGAATCACAACAACGGCAGCGTAAGGATTATATGTTTAAAGTTGATCTCTTGTGTACACTGACATTTGGCATTGTCTGTTAAACTATAGAGTCACGGTAATTTACATTCTTCCAAATGTTATGTCCAGCCAAAGTGTGGGGCCGGGTCTCTTAAGATTGGAGATTCAATCTTTTAGGAAAAGAAGGATTGTGACGCTTTGAGTGAATTGTGGCTAAACCAATTAAAATTAACAGTTTTTATGAGAGTTTCAATCCACGGTGAAGTTTCAATGAGAATGGTGTAGATTGTAGTTTTACCGTTATCTTTCAAACCATTTCAATTTTATGCAAACTTTAACATTTCATCCAAATAAATTTTTATCAATTATGGATCAAAGTAACTGCTTTTAAATTTGTAATATACTCTCAACTAGCTAGATAATAAAAACCTAGGGCTTCCCAACATGGGTTTTTCTTGGAATTTTTATTTTATGGTTTTTGGATTCGGTTGAGAAGAGACTAGGAGAGAGGGTAGAAGAGAGAAAATTAAGTATGATGCAAGAATTCAGTATCTTGAGTTTTGGTGAGTTTATTGTGAATGAATTACTAAACAAAAGAAATAGCCAGAAGATGTGCATCCCATGTAGCAGTAAGTCAGTAACACTTGCTAGGGGTGACTACAGTTCGGTTCCGATTTTGAACCGGTGATTATATTCCTATTTCAGAAAATATTAAATCAAAACCGAAAACCGACGATTCTGGTTCGGTTCTAACAAGAATTTTTTTATAATTTTTTTAATTTTTAAAATAGTCCAAATTCAACACTTTCTTTTTGAAAAAAAATTATTTTAATTTTTTAAAATGGTTATATCAAATGTTTAAACTTTAAATTTAAACTAAAACAGAAAAAAAAATAGTTGCTATAACTAAACTTTAAATAATACTTCACCTTTAATCAAATAATAATAGTTATAAACTTTAATTTTTTTAATTTACGATTTGAAATTGGAATCATTCGGTATTATGGAGCCACCGAAACTATTTGGTTCCGTTCGATTCTTACCGCACACGGTTCAATTCGAATCGAATTATGGCCATCCCTAACGCTCGGTAAGCACGTCAGGATGAGCGCACGCCAACTGGCAGCCAACCTAACTACCTTTTCTTTTTTCCATTCTCTCTCCTTCTTCTCTTTCTAACATGGTTTGAAAAATATGAGGAAAAAAAACTCACGCTATTAATTGTGGATGTCCATAGAGAATGTCTATCTTGTCAATCAACAATAGAGTTGATTAAAAGGTAGTGCACATTTCTGTAATATTGAAATGATCTTCAATAATACGTATTGTACTTGGTACTACCATTCATTCCTAGTGATATTATGTACAATAATACAATTGGAAATGGTGTTCAATGATATCCAGTATAATCAGACATTATTAGAATCTTTTCAATATTATACAAATACAACCGTGTTGCCTATTAATAAGATAGAGTTTTCTTAAATATTATTTTTAATTAATTAAATAACCAAAATACTATTTACCAAACCATATATATATAACCAAAATAAACATTACAATCCAGTCTATCTTATACCATAAACCATGAAACTCCTAAAGCTGTGGCATAATCTATTTCAGTAAGTGAACATAGAAAATCTGGGGTATAGTAAACTGTAAAAATTTCCAGTAGTAACTAAAGGGTAACAGTACAAAACCTATGTATTTCTAAGGAGCTGAGATAAAAAGTGTCAAAATCAAACCTAACCTGATTTAGTTGCTCAAAGTTGCAAGGGGAAAGAGCTTTAATGGTTAGGTTGGTTGGTGGGAATGAGAATCCCAAATAATAAATGACCCCAAAAGGGGTAAGGAACAAAGAGTTTTTCCCAATGTCTTCAATTTTTGACCCATTTTGTATTTCATGTATAAACCCAAAGATATGCATGTTTTGCCCACAAAAGGTGAAATTTTCTCGTTCCACACATTAGTCCTATAGGATAATGGATGGATAAATCACAATGACTAATCATTTGGTGGAGGCTTAGTGTCGAGTGCCCACAAGAAGTTCACTACATTGGAGTTGTGATTGCCTGATTTTGTGTCCTTGCCACCACTTTGATATGCCTAATTATATGGGGTGTTGTGGAAACCAATACTAACAATCCTGTGTAGAACTTAAATAGAGTACATGTTGTTACGTTAGAGAAAGGTCTATAGGGTCGTTAAGTTCAGCATTCTACACTAAAATGTAAGTATGTAATGCTAATTATTATACAAGTAAAAGGAAACACTCCATCATTGTTAAGTTAACAAATTTGAAATTCTTAAGACAAGATTAGTTAACCAATAATCAATATAGAAAGAAAAAAATGGTAAAAGAGGCAATTTGGCTGGGTTCAATTGTTAGTATCTTTATTACTTCCTAGGATTCAAAGTGTTTGGTAAAGGAAAAACAATTTTCATGTTCATTCACTTTAAATCAATCTTTCATGAGAAAGCTGGTGCTTTGTTACTCATTAACTCTTCTTTTTAAGAGCAATTTTAGATCAGAATTTTTATTTGATCATTTTTTTCTGACCTTATGCATAAATGAAAAGAGACAAAATAAATTACTAATGGCCTGGCAACGTCATTGTTTTATCCACTCCGATCGCAAGGATTCGAACTTTTGACTTCAGATTTTTAGTGCTAATACTTTTACTTTTACCTTCATATATATCTGTGTGCATGTGCACATATGCATGCATGTATATATGTATTTGTACAAATATTCATCTATCAATATGGGCCGTCGGTGAAACTTTCACCCATTTACTAAACATCATGGCAATTTATACCATGGATTAGGATCTACCTTGCATTGTAGATTTTAGTTCAAAAATAATCTTAAGATTCTGTGTATTTATAGTTCATACATTCTGTACCTCCAATTAATAGTTTCTGTACATGTAACTATCATATTATGTGTCAGCAATTATCAAATTATTTGTTTATATGTATAGAAATGGTTAATTGATAGGTACAAAATGTGTTAATTGAATGTAGAGAATTTTTGTATCAGGGTTCACAATGCAATATGAACCCTGATCTATGATAGAACAAAATCTCGAACTGACATAAATTTTATTACATAAATGAAAATTTATGTTCACTTTTTTACTAAATTTTTTGTCTACTTTTAACTAGTGGATAGAAAAATACTTATTGTCCAGCTAAAACTATAAGACATGATTTACTCTCTCCAAAGTCCAAACTCTTAGGTAGCAATCATCCATGTTGATTCTCACTATTAGTATATGATTAGTTGATTACACTAACAAGGTGTTTGGTTGGATGGAAAATGTTTTGCAAGGAAAATTAATTTTTTTTTTTTTTTTGTTTCGTGTGGGATGGAAAACATTTTCCTTGTCACCTATTCCCCCCCCCCCCCCCCCCCCCCCCCCCTTGGTATTATTGTTGTTGTTATTATTGTGTATGAGCATAATTGTCTTTATACTTATTATTTCTTATAATTCCAAATCCAACCAAACAATGAAATTTATATTCTCAGTAATTTCTTTTCCACCAACCAAACAATGAAATTCATTTTCCTGAAATTTCAATTTCATTTCCCTTTAAATATTTTCTAGCGAACCAAACAGTCATAAATGATCTCAATCATTCTTGCTTTTCCTTTTTTCTTTTTCGAATACCCCATCACATAGTTTTTTTTTTTTTTTTTAATTCACTACGAGAACAATCATATTTATCCATTAAGAAATCCGTAGGTAAATTAATAAAACTAGTAAATTTTAAGTTGTAAGTAAATAATATATGGTTGTTTCATTTTTTCTTGATTTAATCCACTAAATGTTGTCTACTGACCAAATATTGACCTATCATAGTTTCTTTGGTTCAGAACACTAACCTCTCCTACTATTACAAAGAGAGAAACTGTAAGTGTACAAATTAGTACACATTAGATTGATTAATTTATTAGTTTATTTTATTAATATGTAATGTTAATTAGTATGAGTTGTAATTAGTATTATTGGACCAAGCTAAAATATGTCCTGGAGATTTATTGTTAATGAGTTGGACAAAGAGCAAGTCTGAAGATCTCAAATTAAAGAAGATGTGGTTGAGAAGAATTCAAGCCACATGTGAAAGCTACAATCAAGGATGGGATGAATGGGAATTGCGTACAGTATATAAAGAAGGGAAAACGAAAGAGGAAGTTGCCAATTCTGAAATTCTGAACACATGCAAGCTTCCTATATTACTGCTTTAATATTGATTATGTTATATTTGTGATTTAATTCTGTACTTCAACTCAGTACCTATGACAGCTGAAGCGCTACACCAAAGATGGTTATGGCATGCACGGTTCAGTCCTGAATAGGTGTTTTAGAAGAGTTGTAGTGGTAATGGCTGTGAGCCATTTGTAATTACCTCTTTTAATACTCTGTGATGAACATCTAGTGGATTGGGCAGACGTAGGTTGCCCCGCAGACGTAGGAGAAGGAGCTCCGAACTGCGTAACAATTCTACTGTGTCTTTACTTTATTTATGCTTTCAATTTCGTTATTTATACGTTGATTAAATTGATTTAAT